ACTTGGAGGCCGGCTTGGAGCGTGCTGTCCACAAAGCCTTTCGTGCTCAGACGTTTTTCAAGGCCTGGGGGGCCGAGATCAATGGCGTGAAGGGCGTGGTAGGCGCGCCCAGGGAAGTGCGGAAGCAGTTGTGGGTCCTGATTGAGAAGCTCATTGCAGGTGAGTACGCATCGAAGGAGGTGCTCCAGAAGGTAGTGGGCCATCTTGCGTTTGCATTCCAATTTCGCAGAGAAGTGTATGCTCTACTACATCACCTGTACAGGTATATCGATAGGATGGCGAGCGTGCGGTGGATCAGGCTACCTAAGCATATTCAAGACGAACTCCGTAGTTGTTCTCTTCATCTCCCATTTGCAGTGTGCTCTATGCGAAGGCGGCTCAGCTCCACCATCCTGGCGACTGACGCCACACCAACGACGGGAGGAGCTTGTGCAGCTGAAGTGAGTCCAGAGCTAGCTGAAGAACTTTGGCGCAGGACGGAGATTCGTGGAGAAGCTGTTCGTTTGGATCGGTGTCAGGACCTCAGCCTGGATGCTCAACTTCCCAATGAGCCCTCAAAGTTCGCTAGCATTGTATCGGAGTGCCTTTCGTGGCGAGTTACCAGCAGCTACACGTTCAGACAAACATCGCACATCAATCTTCAGGAGACCAGGGCCCTACGACGGGAACTCATTCGGCTGGCTAGTGATCCTCGGAGGCGTGGCACTCTGATCACCTGTCTGAACGATTCCCGAGTTGTGGTGGGAGCCATGTCCAAGGGCCGATCCTCAAGCTTCCGGCTGAATGGAATCCTTCGTGGGTTGGTGCCTCATCTGGTGATTGCGAACCTTGGGGTTGGCTTGATTTGGGTGGAGACTGCCTCAAATGTTGCTGATCATCCTTCAAGATTTGTTGGTCTGCCTGCTCCTCTGGTACCCCCTAGGTGGCTACAGGAATATGGAGTTGGGGCCAAGAATGCGCAGGCCGGGCTAGAGGTTTTCTCGGGTAGTGGTCGGCTGACACGAGCTCATGTGGAACTAGGCTTGGACATGCTGGAGGGCATTGACGTGCTTGAAGGCATGGATGTGTTCTCGTCTGAGGTTGAGGAGTTGATAGGAGAGAAGCATGTTTATTGGGTTTGGTTTGGGCCTCCTTGCTCATCTTTTTCGGGGCTTCGCAACCTCGACAGGGGAGGACCATTACGACCCAAAGGACATCCAGAGGGCGATGAGCGGCGCCCAGACGTGGCCCTGGGGAATAGGCTCTGGAGACGCACCCTGTGGTTGGCTGAGCTTGCTTTGAAGGTCGGTGTTTTCATCTTCATTGAACATCCCTTGCGATCTCGAGCATGGCAGCTGCCAGAAACTCAGAGGTTGATGCAGCGGTGGTCATTGAAGTTGCACAAGGTTGATTGGTGTGCGTACCATGATGACTTCAGGGTAGGCAATCCAAATCAAAAGGCAACTCGGATTCTCTCAAATGCCCCATGGCTCCAGCGGGTGATCAGGAGATGTCCGAGAGATCATGAGCATGCGCCACCATTGCGGGCGGAGAGGGCAACTGCAGCAGGTGCCTACCCCACTGGATTTTGACGGGAGTTAGCTCATGCGTTGGCGGAGTGGAAAGCAGGCAACCCGCCTGCGGGATGCGGCGTTAAGCACTGAGTACAGGCGTGGGCTTCGGTGGGCGGCAATATGGCTACTGGACATCTCATCTAATCTTGGGAGGCCATTGTCAAAGAGATCTTCTACCCGGACCTTGGACGCGGCCTTAGAGAGAGTGGTGGATTGGTGCTATCAGAATCACGAGCGCCTGTGCAAGGTCACTCTTGGGGTCTTGGGGTTACAGCGGCATCTGAACATTTCAGGTCCGCTACTTCGGCATACGTGGGCGGCCATCAGAGCTTGGAGGACCTTGCTACCGGTTCGCTCTCGGGTGCCTATAACCAGATCCATTCTGGCAGCCCTACTCGTGACGTTGGCGGCCAGGAGTGTGCGGGAAACTGGCCGCGAACGTGAACTCTGGATGGCCGCGATGCTAGCATCTTGGTTGTCCTTTGAAGCGTTGCTTCGTCCAGGTGAAGCCCATAATCTATTGGTACAGGATGTCCTCCTACCTGATGCCCATCTCCTGTCAGGTGATGATGAAGGTTTGGTGCTCTCGCTGAAGAGCCCCAAAACCAGGCGTGTGTGGCGCGCTCAGTTTGTATTAGTGAGGAATCCCGCCTTAATATCATGGATGAGATGGTGGTTGGAGGGCAAGCCTCGTCATCA